GAGGGCGCGAGGCGGGATGCCCGGGATTCTCAGGACAACTTGGGGTCTGGCGGCCGCGAGATGCAGGGTGTGTTCTGTTGTGTTTGTCGAGGGCTCGAGGCGAGATAGCTGGGGCGCTCGGGGCAACATGGGGTCTGGCGGCCGCGGTATGCAGGGTGTGATCTGTCGTGTCTGTCGAGGGCGCGAGGTGGGATAACCTGGACACCCATTTAGGGTCTGGCGGCCGCGGTATGCAGGGTGTGTTCTGTCGTGTTTGTCGAGGGCGCGAGGCGGGATAACCAGGACACTCGGGGCAACTTGGGGTCTGGCGGCCGCGGTATGCAGGGTGGTAGTGGCCGGGAGGTCTGTTTTTACAATCTAGCGACCCCAACTTGTCTCGTGGGGAACAGCGCACACAAACACAAAACAAGACAAGAGCACAACAGCACACAAACACATACCAGACGGCACACAAAAACATGCAAACAAACGGAACAACCGTACACACGCACACAAACATGACTAATTTATGGCTCTGACTTTGCAGGCACAACTCGGCGCCGCGCGGGGGAGCAATGCGGCGCCGCGGCGGCCGCGCGAGCCTGCCCTTCCTCGCGGCGGCGGCGCTGCCACTGCTGCTGCTGCTGCGGGGCGCGGGGCCCCCCGCCGCGCGCGGGCCCGGGGCTCGGTGCTCGGCATCGCCCAAGCCTCATCGGCACCGTAACGGATACGCACCAACGGGTACTTGGGACAGTTGCCGAACGGTGCCACTTTAGGGCCTCTTTCTGGCTTTGCAGCGTTGCCCACATCGGGAATGGCTGGGTTCTCCGGGTCACTGGCCTAGCTGGTAGTGGAGTTCCCGTCGGAGGGACGCTGAAAGCTATCCTGACCGGCTTGGAACAGAGGCTTATCTCTCAGAGGAGGAAAAGGTACCCATGCCGCTACCCTGCCCTCGTTCTCCTCTTTCTGGGCCTCCTGCGAGGCCCTCGTCGCCACCGCTGGGCTCGCCTCGAAATCCTGGTCAGAACGCACCCCGGGAGAGGTCAAGGGAGTAGCGGTATGGGTACCTTTTGGTTCCCCCAAGGGTTCGGTGCTCGGCATCGTCCAAGCTATCCTGACCAGCCTGGGACGCGTTCCTATCTCTATGATGGGGTGTCGCCCGATCTCGATGCCGATCTCAAGGGCTCCCTGGGCTTCTAAGGTCGCACCCCTCAGGGCGTCACCTCCCTCGGACTTGTCGATCCCGGGGATGGGGGCAAGATCGACGCTGGCCTCATCCCCCATCCCCACCGGGCCACGGCGTCTCGGCCCGAACCGGCCCAGCCTCCCAGGTGGGGGATAGGCCCCGCGAGACCCGACGGAGCAGGCTCAGACCGGGTTGGCTGCGGGTCGGCGAATGGCGCCCAATAGGAATCGATAGCGCCAAGATAGCGCCCGACGGTGCCCAGCGGCGACGAATAAGGACCACATGGCGCCGAACGGAGACCAGTGACGCCCGATGGCGCCATGTGAGGTAGGTGCATCACGTCCGCTTGGGGCGCGATTGGGCGCGGGGGACGACGTTTCCGTGAGCTGCTCTCTAAATCGTGCACGTATCCCGATCTGTAGTGGCATATACGCTGGCCAGGTGGGCCAAGGCCGCGCCAGTTGGGACAGGGATCGGTTAAACGATGCTTTCGGTAGCAAATCATGGGAGCCTTGTGTGCCCTCGCAATTCTGTCTTTCGCGTCGATTGGCGTCCATGAGCGTCCGGAAGTGGATGAGGTGGCGCCGAGTTGGCGCCGGTGAGCGTCAATGCGCGTTGGCTCGGCGTCGATCAGTGTCGATTCAGCGCCCGCCCTGCGTCGAGTCGCAGGAGCCAAGGGCTCCCTCGAGGGCGCGAAGTTATTCGCGCTTCGCGGTCCTCGTTCCTTCTCCCCCTCCTCCTCGTCCTCCTATTCTCCCTTTGGGAGGGCGGCGCGAGAGCGCGAAGTTATTCGCGCTTCGCGCTTCGCGCAGCGCGAAGCGCGAAGTTGGGAGCCCTAGCGGAGCCGACAGGATGTGGTGTGGTCGGAGGGGGGAGATGCGACACCAACACCACCAGGGGGCCCACCTCCAGCGAGGAGGTCCACGATGCCTCCCCGAGCTGGAGGCTGGGGGTGTCTCGGGCGAGAGGGGGGGGCCACACCACCAGGGAGACCCCCCCCCCTGCTCCTCGCATCGCCTCGCCCTGTTGGTGTCGGTGTCGCCTCTCCTTGTTCCTGTGTGGGAGGCTCCCCTGAGTTGCCACCGACGATGCCCAAAGGTGCCTCTGCTCCGGGCGCGGGCGGGGCGGCCTGGGGCGGGGCGGGCCCCCGCGCGCGCGCGCCCGCCCCGCCTGCGCGGGCGCGGCGGCCCGCCCGACGCCCGCGGATGCCGCGCCCGCCGCAAGGCCGACCAGCACGTAGTCGGGGGAAGGAGGAGGTACCGATGCGGTCGGACCGAGGCACAGGCGGCGGCGAGCGGGGGGGGGGGGGGAGGTGAGAAGAGGCGGGCCTTTTCTTGTCAGGAGGCTCAGAAGCCCCAGGGCCTTCTGAGAGGTTTTCTGAGCACCCCCGAAGACGCAAAGGACTGCTCAACAGGCGCGAGAGCTTCTGCGAAGTCCCGCCGCCTTCTGAGAAGTCCTTCTCCTTCTCACTTCTAGGGTAACGAGGAATGACATTAACATAAAAACGCGGAGGTCCGCTGGACCCCCCTGGCGGCGCCTCCGGCGCGGCCCGTGGCGCCCTCTGCGCGCCAGGGAGGGGGGTCCAGCGCCGATCCGAGAAATCCGCGCGGACCTCCGAGTTCTGATGTTTGTGTCATTCTTCGTCCCCCTAGAAGTGAGAAGGATAAGGACTTCTCAGAAGGCGGCGGGACTTCTCAGAAGCTCTCGCGCCTGCTGAGAAGTCTTTTGTGTCTTCGGGGGGTACTTAGAAATTTCTCAGCAGGCCCTGGGTCTCTGAGCCTTCTGAAACGGCCCGCCTCTTCTCACTTCCCCCCCTCGCTCGCCCCCGATACGAGATCGAGGTCGGTTCGGCACCCTGATGCTCTCGTGTCTGCTGGATGCTCCTGTGCATGCTCGGGGAGGGGTGCCCTCAAGCGTTCTCCGGTCTGGCCGTCCGAGGGTCTGGTCTTGATCGGGGAGGCTCCTCTGTCCTGGGACCGGCCGCGATCCCGGCTGCCCGTGCCTCGTCTGCACCGCCACGGCTGGGCTCGCTCTGGCCAGAACGCGGCCCGGGAGAGGCCCGGGGAGCAGGGCCGCAGGCGAATTGTCTCTCCCCCCCCCCCCCGCCTTTTCGACGAAAAGAGTAACCGCTCAGAAAAGAAGGGAAACCCTGGGATACACCCCACACCCCCTCGGAGTCACCCTTCTCGAGGATGGACGCCCCCCCATCGTGTATACCAGGGTTGGGCCCCACATGTCCGGTCCAGTCGAACACCTCCCAAAGCCTGGGATAGGGGTCGCCACATCCCCTGTGAGAGGGGGGATCGGTACCTTTGGAGTTCCCCACGTGTTCCTTCGAGCTCGGTGGCGCGAAGGTGCACTGCGTGACCGACGGCGCGGTGGACTGCGGGGCGGCCTGGATGTTCGGCAGGAGGGCCGTGCTCCTCAGCTGGGCAGTGCCAAGGGGGGGTCACCACCAGCAGGGGGGTTGCCTCGGCGCGCCCCATCTCCCCCCCCCCCCATCCTCCCCATCCTCCCCCCCCCCCCACCGCCTCCCATCGACCCATTTCCCCCCCCCCTCCCCTCCTATCGGCGCCACTCCAACATCCTGATACTGTGTGTGCGTCGCCCCCTCCCCCCAGGGGCGACGCGCGCACCGAGAAGTCTTGCAGTATGTGCGTCGTGGCGGGCGCTTTCGGGCCACACCGCTCGGGCGACGATGTACTACAAGGTGGGTGTACTACATGTTCGGGTCGGACGCGCGCCTCCAAGGAGGACATGTCGTACTAGTGTGTCTCTTTGCGTCCCGATGTCCGCTCCTCCTGGAAGTGGAGGTCCCGTATTGGAAGGCTGTGGAGGGCTTTGGGGGGCTCCCGTCCTCCAGGCAAACAACAAGGTGTTTCCACGTATCGTTGGCCAGTCCGGGGGTCGAAGCGAGAGTCGCCCCCCCGGCCTTCTGAGCAGTTTTCTGAGCATTCCCCCAAAACACACACACAGAACCTTTTTCAGAAGGCCCCCGGGCTTCTGAGAAGCCCCGCCGCCTTCCGACAGGGCCCTCTCCTTCTATAACTTGCCCCCCCTTTTGCTCGCCGTGGCGATCCCCCGGTGGCGACCCCTCCCAGGCATTGCCCTGTGCAGCGCCGGCGCCAGCCCGGTCAGGACAGTGCCCGCTGGAGTGTCCGGGGTAGATTTGGCGAGGCTCTTCCCATCGGGGCGCGCCCCGCTGGCCTTCGGCTGCACGCTGCTGCGGCTGCCCGGCGGCGAGAACGTGCTGCTCGACACGTCGCTCGGCCAGGTGGACCCGCCAATCTTCCCGGGCATGAGGCTGGTGCAGCCCCTGCGGCACCTGCCGGGGCTGCTCCGGGCTGCGGCAGGCATCGTGCCAGCCGAAGAGGACGCAGCTGCGCAGTCAGGAGCCGTCGGAGCTCCGTGCGGATGTCTCGGGTCGGCGCGCGCTCCCCCTGGCGGGCACCTCCGGCGCCGCCCTTGGCCGCGCCCCGCCGCGCCAGGAGGGGGAGGGGCAGCCACGGCACGAGAAATCCGCGCGGCGATCCAAACGTTTCGGTCCGTGCAGATGCTTCTTCTTCTAGCCAGAGGAGGTGCACGTCGTGGTGCACTCGCACCTGCACCGGGACCACACCGGCTGGAACGTGGCTCCCCGCCAGGAGGATGCCCGGCTGGAGCCCCTCTTCAGGCGTGCGCGGCACGTGGTGCAGCAGGCAGAGTGGGAATACTGGACGTCCACACCATTCGAGGATCTTCGGGACGTGTGTCAGCTCAATGTGTGCGTTGCCCCGCTCAGCCCCGCCGATGACATGCAGCCTGTGTCCGCCCTCACTACATTGCATGCGTCGTATTGGAGAGCTTCCGTGGACGAGCACGCGTTGGCGCCAACAAACGTTCTGAGGATCCTCGAGCCATCGCTTAGGTCTCGCTGCCGCTTCGACGAGAACCTGGCACCGCTGGAGGCGGCGGGCATGGTGGACCTGGTGGACGGCGAGGTTCGAGGGAGAAAAGTATTCCATCAGCACAATCGGAAAATAACAACGCCATAAACATTCACTTTCGGCGCTCTGCGCGGATTTCTTGGATCCGCCCTGGGTCCCCCCAGCGGCGCCTCCGGCGCCGCCCCTGGCGCGCTCCGCGCGCCAGGGAGGGGAGCCCAGCGCAGATCCAAGAAATCCGCGCGGTGCGTCACATTTTATGTTTATACCGTTTTTCTTTTTCTCATTTTCGGAGGTCTGCACTGATTCCTGGGATCGGGGCGGGATCCCCCCTGGCTGGCGCAACAGGAGCGCGCCAAAGGGCGGAACACGCGCCAGGGGCGGTGCGCTGGAGTGGCCATGGGGGGGTCCAGCGCCGATCCAAGAAATCGCCGCGGACTTCCGACAGTTTTTCTGTTATGGCGTTTCCAGGGTGCTCAGTGTCGTCCACCAGAGATCTCGACTCGTTCCCTCAGGACAAGGTTTTCCCTGAAGAACACAAACGGGATAAACAGAAACTTTCGGCGCTCCGCGCGCGTTTGCCTTGGATTCGCGCTGGCCCCCCCCCCCCGCGGCGCCTCCGACGCCGCCTCTGGCGCGCTCCTCGCGCCAGGGAGCGGAGCTTGGCGCAGATCCCAACAAAAAAACCTGCGTGGAGCGTCGAAGGTTTATGCCTACGCAGTTTCATCTTGTTTTCTGTCGTTTCCAGGGTGTTGGAACGTCGGCCACCAGAGGTCCCGACTCGTTCCCCAGGACTCGGATCGCATCCCGAGTCGTTTCTGGTGGTCCCGTGGCCTGGCGAGGGCCGCTGGGGCCCGAGAGCGGGGCAGCAGCACACATTTCGTCTTTCTGTCCAGTCCTTGGGCCCACGGATGATTTGGTGCTGCTTTTTGCTCGATCCCGATCGGTAGCGACCGATCGGCACATCAAGTCGGTCGCGACCTGCTGTGAAGCAATTCGGCTGCGACCGATATTGGAACTCGATGCCGCATCGGTAGCGACCGATCTCGTCGGTCGCGACTCGGGATCTTTACTGTCCAATGATTTGGAGATGCCTGGGGTGATGCTGTGTTTCTAAATGTTGTCGGCGCGGCCTTAACGGAAGGCTTGGAAGTCCCCCAGCCTTTGAGAAATTACCAGTCTTTTCCCCTGAGACAGAAAGCCTGTCAGAAGGCCAGAAGGCTTCTGAGAAGCCCCGCCGCTTTCTGAGAGGACCTTCTCTTTCTCACTTCCCCCCCTACTCGCCGCCGGCCAAAGAGGCCGATGCTCCACCACCACTACCATAGGTGGGAGCGGGAGGAGGAGGTGGAGGAGGAGGAGGAGGAGGAGGAGGAGGAGGATGACCTCCCCATCTGCCCTTCTCCCCCGTCCTACGTACGGTAGCGGTGGTGTTCAATGGAGCGACGCAAAAGGGAAACGTGGTCGTCTGCGCTGACATTGGCGCGTACGCTGCCCGCGTAGGGTCGCGCGTAAGCGCCCTCCTCCCCAAAATAGCGTGTTGCGCCGCGGGCCCGCGTAATCCACCGCGTAAGTCGGTGGTGCAGAGATGCGGTCCTGAGGAATGGGTTCATGAGGATGAGGTGCATAAACAGAGCACAATCCACCCTTGGATCACTTCCTATTCTTGGGACCCCATCTCTCAGAACCCCATCTGTGATCCGCCGAGCACGGCCGCCACAGTCAACACGCACAATTAATGATGAGCGACTTGTTCAAGGTCACCCGTGCATCCTTGCTCCTTCGGCCTATTCTTAGCGACATTCGCTTGGGCTCCCAGGCCCGTGCATCCTTACCGCGCATCCTCATGTGAGGCGTATTGACTGTCCGTCGTCTCGTGGAAGCCCCGCTCTTGATCGTCGCACCATCTGCCCAGCCTCAGCAGGTGGGCGATGCAAAACAACGGGGTCGTCGCTGCCCGCGTAAGGTCGCGCGTAAGCGCCCATGCTTCAAACCTGGCGTGCCACGTGGGCGGTTTGCGTAAGCCACCGCGTAAGTTCGCTACGTCATCTCGCGCAAGACAGGGGAGGACCTAAACGGTCTTTTGGGCGATTCCGTGGGCCGCTTTCGCTTGGACTTCGTCTTGCGGCAGAAAGGCGGACGGAAGCCAACACGAGGGTCAGCGAAGACGAAGCGAAGACGCAAACCAACGTTTGGATCCAGCTCTCGCGTCCTCCCCATCCTCGTCGTCCTCCTCCTCCTCCTCCTCCTCCTCCTCCTCCTCCTCCTCCTCCTCCTACTCGTCCTTCCCCCCCTCCTCCATCTCCTCATCCTCCTCTTCCTCCTTCTCCTCCTCCTGCTTCTCCTCCTCCTCCTCCTCCTCCTCCTCCTCCTCCTCCTCCTCCTCCTCCTCCTCCTCCTCCCCCACCACCCCTTCTTGACCGTCGCCCAGGTGGAGCTCCTGCCCGGGCTCCGGCTCCTGCCCTGCCCCGGCCACACGCCGGGCCACCAGGCCGTGCGCATCGACGGGGGCGCCGGGCGCGTCGCGTACTTCGTCGGGGACGCCCTGCACCAGGCGCAGCAGATCCTGGAGCCCGGCCTGTGCCCCGTCCCGGCGGCGCGCAGGAGGCCTCTTCGCGTGCCGAGGGGGAGCAGCCACTGCTCTACTCCAGGCCTCTCTACTCTTACTCGGAGGAGATGGGGTCGGAGGATCGCGCCACATCGCCGATGCATCGGTTCTGCCACTCGATGCGGGGCCCGATTTTCTTTGCGCTGGCGTCGCCGATGCATCGCCGACGCATCGGCGATGCGGCGCGATCCTCCGACCCCATCTCCTCGGATCCCATCTAGGAGGCGTCTATCGATATTCCAGAGGAGGTAAAACAGTACCCTTACTTCTGATGTTCCAACCAAGTGTAGCCTGGATCTCCAGACAGAATCTCGAGCACCAAGAAGCTGCCGGAGCTGGATGTCGTTTCACGCGTCGGGGCCTGGGAGGCGATTCTCGCTCGACACCGATTCGATACTTTTCTGGGTGCTCGAAATTCCTTCTGGGATGTGATCCTCAAGTATGATGGGAGCAACAGAAACCCATACTTCTACCCTTTCCTCGCTTTCCCCTTTTTCGGCCTCCTGGGCGGCCCTCGTCGCCACCGCAGGCTTCGCCTCGGAATTCTGGTCGGAACGCACCCCAGGAGGGGTCTGGGTAGTAGTGGTATTGGTGCCTTTTGATCTCCCAAGTTTGGGGGGTCAGGAAGAGGCAGGCTCCGTCTGTGACGTCCGTTTGCGGCTGGAGGGAAGCTTGAAAAGGCGAGAATGACCTCACGCGATGTGGATGGTTTGCTAGGGGTCGGTCAGGCCGCGCCCGAAGGTTGTTGGCGCCCAGGTGCCTTGGCCCAGTGTTGACGGGAAAGGTGCCCACACCTTCGCAGTTCGCAGGTTACATGTTTTCGATCCGATCGATCCGATTCGATGTCGGTGTCGGCCACTTCGATCCACTGCGATTTCGATAGTCCGACGATCTGATGCGGCCCGACGCTTGCACAGCGCTGTCCTGCGTCCTGGCGAGGGCGATCCGATTCGATTTCGACTCCATGCCGATGCAGGCCGATCCGACGCGCACTCCGATTCGATTCGATTTAACGAATCGACGCTGACTGATCCTGCCCCAGACGCGATTTCGTTCGTAACGTGCACTCTTGAAGGCCTCGGCCCACTCCTCTCGACCAGCTTTCGGCCCTTAACTGTTTTGAAGCTGGTCCCGAGGCCGGGTTGTGGCCCCCATGGTTTGGAAGACCAGAAAGACGCGCCGTCGTATTTTCGGTGGCGACGCGAGAGGGTGTTTACCAGTTTGAAACATATCCCTATCCCTCTGGTTAGCATCACCTTACTTTGTTGCCGATCTGAAGGGTTCCCTCAGTTCCTGAGGGCACATCTCTGAGATTATCATCGCTTTTGGCTTGCCGATCTTAGGGATAGGGATAGGTTCGAGTCTGGTCAGGTGTGGGGTTATGGGATAGCTCGAAGATCAGCTGCATAAGCACACAGTTTGGGAGGTCCCCGCGTTCCCTTGGCTCTTCGCTTGCCCCCCTCCTGGCGGCGCCCCCGGCTCCGCCCCTGGCGCGAACCGCGCGCCGGGGAGAGGGGGCCAGCGCGGATCCAAGAAATCCGCGCGGACCTCCGAAAGTGTCTGTCTGTGAAGTTTCGTTTTGCAGATGCCGTGGGGCCTCTTGGGAGCCCTCCCGCCTACACAGGGGGTCTGCACAGACGCGCCCACTCTGAGAGGCCCCGTGGCTTCTTGCGCCAACTCACCCCCTCCCGCGCGCCGCCGGTCCTCTTCGACACGGCCCCGGAGGAGAGCGCCGCTTCCCGGCGATCGGGCGGGTGGTAATTGGGGGGGGTGGCCTGAAGAGGGGTGGTGATGAGAAGGGCCCCAACGGAGAGCCTTTTCGAGCCGGCGGGGGCCCCGTTCGGGCCTCTGTCTGCACCCTCCGTTTGGGTCAGAGCCCCCCAGGACCACCACCGCCCCAAGGCGAGCCCTCTTGGATCGGGCCTCCCGCGAGGGCGCCCTGCTGCTGTCGCCGCACCTGCCCTTCCCCGGCTGCGGCCGCGTCCGCGCGGAGGGGGGGGGCCGCTTCCTCTGGCGCCCCGCGGGGCCGGGCGGGGCGGACTCGCCGGGCGCCGACGCCGCGTCGAACACAGAAAATAAAGGGAAATTAGGACACACAAATAAATACACACAAATAAAAAGATTCCCCATATTTTCCCATATTTTCTGGGTTTCTGTCTTCCCCCCCACTTCCCATATTTTTGCATATTTTCCTGGGAGTCGAGGATTAATTGTGTCTGTGTGTTTTTTTTCCCTCCTGAGAAAAGGGGTCAAGCAGTGGCGAAGCGCCCTGACCTCGCCAACAGGGCCACGAATTGTTCCCAGGACATTCCTGGCTGACACTGCCTTGCTTTGACACATCGGGCTATTCTCAAAACATTTTTAGTGTCATCAGAACATGCTTGGTTCTAAGAATGGTTCGTGGTAGGCCTATGGGAATGCCGGTACGGTCGGTCCCTGCTCAAAGGGGCCTGATCGAGGGCCGAGGCTCGAGGGCACAGCCATGCAGCGCTTTTCCGCCTCAGAAACATGGTTCGAGCAAGAGATATCGACTACATACGTGCATTGCTATCACATGGTTTCCTCGTCAAATCCACAAGCAAAACACGTAGAATGCTCCATAGATCCACGAACATGCTTCGTATTGCTGGTAGATGTGACGAATCCTTCAAGTTTTGGGGTGAGTCGATTCTGTATTCGATCTCCTACTCAAACAGTTAACACGCAGGCAGCCTCCACCGAATTTTCCCTGGGCCTCGTGGGGAGGTCTGCGTTGTATCATTCACCACTGCGAGCCAGCGGCTCTAGACACCCCACTCTCCCTGGAAGGCGCAGGGAGAGCTCGTCGGCGCTTTCTGTTGGTGTATGTGTACGTCCCGTAGTTGATAGACGTTTTCGTGTTGTAGTTGTGACAGACGTCAAGATGTCAGGATTCCCGATCGACGGCCTGGGTCTGATGGGGCCGTCCTCAAAAAAAACATGTCCAGGGGTGGATGATGTGAACAACTCGTTACGGATCCTGCCGTGGCGACGGGCAGCCAGAAACACCTCCTCCTCGTCCTAGTCCGCGTCGTCCTCCTCATCGTGCCTACTGTTCCTGCCTTATCCTCCTCCTCCTCCTCCTCCTCCTCCTCCTCCTCCTCCTCGTCCTCCTCCTCCCACCTCCTCTGTCTCCTTCGGGATCCCGCCTTTTCCTGGGGATTCCTGAGCCCACCTGGAGCCCCTGGGGCCCCCTGGAGCCTCCCGTGGCCGCCTGGGGCACTCCTCCTGCTCCTGCTGCTTCTCCTCCTTCGCCTCCCTCGCCTCCCCGTGCCTCCTTCTCGTCCTGCCTTCTCCCTGGGCCAGTTGTTCCTTTCTTTTGCCTCCTCCTCCTCCTCCTCCTCCTCCTCCTCCTTCTTGTCCTGCCTCCCTGTTTGGCCTCCTGCATTCTCCCGATGCCTCCCGTTGCCTCCCGGAGCCTTCTCGAGTTTCCCGGGGCCGTCGTCCTCCTGCCTCCTCTTCCTTCTCCCCTTCCTTCTCCTGCAGCCTCCTCCTCCCGCTCCTCCTCCTCCTTCTCCTCCTCCTCCTCCTCCTCCTTCTCCTCCAGTACCTTCTCCCTTGGCCTCTCCCCCTCCTCCTCCCCCTCCTCCTTCTCCTCCTCCTCCTCTTCCTCCTCCTCCTCCTCAGGTCCCGATGGCCTCCTGCCTCCCCTTTGGGCCTCCGACGGCCTGCCGGAGCTTCGGGGTCGTCCTGGACCCACCCCCCGGGGGCCTCGCGCGCCCTCCCGGGGAGGTCGTCGTTCGCCTCCCCCGGGCCCTCTTCAGTGGTTTCCAGTCGGGGGGAGGAGGAGCGACACCGTCGCCACCAGGGGGCCCACCTCAAAGCGAGGAGGTCCACGACGCCTCCCCGAGCTGGAGGCAGGGGATGTCTCGAGCGAGAGGGAGGGACCGCACCAGCAGGGAGACCCCCCTGGCCTCCTCGCATCTCCTCGCCCTGGTGGTGTTGGTGTCGCCTCTCCTTGCTCCTATCCAAGGCCTCTTGGGGCTTCCGGCGTCTCCTGCGGTGTCCTGAAGCCTCCTGGGAGGTCTGGAAAAAAAAAGCAGCAGTTCTTGGCATCGATCGGACGTGCGCATCTTTTTCTCGGCGAGAACCATCGAGGACCATCCAGGACCATCGAGCAAACAAAAACACGCCCGAATCCGAACAAATGAACGGGAAATGGAATGGACGTCCGAGCGGCGGCAAGAGTGAGAGAGATCGGCCGAGCCACGCGCATCTAAAACATGCGTTTGGGACCCCACCGACGAGATAGAGCTCCTCGCCATGCACTCACCGACGAGGATGCCGATCGAAACTTCTTCACGATGCAGGCCCTAGGAACCCTCGAAAGATCATTGCCACAGGGGGTGAGAGGACCCGCGTTTTTTGGTTGCAAAGCAGCACGAGGTGTGGACCTCATAGAGAGGCGCCTCGGCTTGGCACTTCCCCGCGATTTCCTGACGCACGAGTCTCCCGCTGGAGACGTCCTTCATACGAATGTGTCAGCGAGCGCGTGCGTGCATGCGCTTGGGATGTGGCGACGATGACAGCGATGGTTTCAGCGATGAATGCACGAGGAGAAGAGGCGCGGGGGGTCGTGAGAGGTGACGCCCGCACGGCGGGCGTCCAGAAGCTACCCGAGCCCCACTTCGGATGTGGGGAGGAAGTCGGCGGAAGGCCCCGGGGGGGAAGCGAACTTAGAGGGGGCGGGCCTCCCCAGGTCGCTCGGAAGTCTTCTGGCGTTTTGACGACGAACTTGCCGTACGGCTGGAGGGCTTCAGGGAAGCACCGCCGCCCTCTGAGAAGGTTGCCTCTCGCCGCCCCCCAAACCACCCTGACCCATCGCGACGGCCCCGACTTGCCCTCCATTACCAGGGGGGGGAGGGGTCGGGGAACATTGAAACAGACACATGTGAAGCCCGTAATTACCCCCCCCACCCCGAAATTCGGGGGGTCTGGTATACGGGATGCGAAAAACCGCTTTTGTTGCCGGCTTCCAGCCAGCTTCCCCACAACCACTGCTTTTCTTTTGTTGCCGGTTTCCAGCCAGCAGAAACAAAGCAGTGGTTGTGGTCGTTTTCGTCAAGCTTGGCACCAGGGACATGAGTACAACCACGGCTTGATTTTCGGCCGGCTGGAAGGCAGCGCAGACAAGAAGCAGTGGCTGTGGTCATTTTCCCGTCCCGCCACCCCCTTCCGTCAGGGGCCGAAAAGAGGGGGGTGATGATTGGGGGGGGGATATCATGGCGGGGGCCATGATATGTCCCCAGATTTGATGGCGCTTCTTCTTATTTAATTACGTCCCTGGCCCCCCCGCTGGGCCGCGCACGTGCCGCCGGTCATGACCTGCACCCCCCCCTCTTGGACACCCCCCTCCTGGCCGCCACCCCCTTCCTCCTTCCCCCCCCTCGCTCGCCGCCGAGAGCCCGTTCGGGCACGGGCGGGCGCGCCGGCCCCGCAGGACTGCAAGCAGCGGCTGCGCGCCGCGCCCGCGGCCGCAGCGCCCGCGGCCGCACCGCCCGCGGCCGTGGCGCCCAGGGCCCAGGCGCCCGCGGCCGCCTCCGTTCGCCTGCTCTCCCCGTCCTCCTCCTCGTCTTAAGTCGGGCCTGTCCCCCTACGGGGGAATATTCAAAAATAGTCAAAAAATAGTCAGAGGACTACTTTTTCAGTATTTGTTGCATCTTTCGAACATTTTTTGTTGTCAAAAAACATGTTTCGTCCAAGATCCCCCTTTAGGGGGACAGGCCCGACCTAATCCTCGTCTTTGCCTCCTGCTTCTCCTCTGCCCAACCCTCTGAGCTTCCAGGATGGGGCCCAGGACCCGAGGGCACGCCCACTCCGTGCCGGGAGGCCTGTTGGCAGATCTATTTCGTGCTCCCATCTGCGTTGCCAGATGGACGGGGGACGCGCAGTTGCCTGGACATCTGTCCGCAGCAACCTGGGAACGGGCCCCCTTCTGTTGAATGAGCAACTGCGGAGTGTGAGCGAATCGAGGCCCCTATGCTAGTTCCGAATATGAGTCCTGAGATCACGAGTTTTCCCCTGCCTTCACCACCCAGCGGTTGCATCCTACTCGTGCTGCAGAGTTACCACGATGCTGGTTTGGTTGAAGCGTTCCGCTCCGCGCCCAATGAGGTTGACCTCGCCCTGGCAAGCATGGGAGCCTCTGTTTGCCTCTGTCTGTCTCTGACTCTCTCTCTCTCTCTCTCTCTTTCTTTCTCATGTTCTTTCTCTGCCCCCCCACTCGCGAATACTCCTTATTTTCCATGGGGTTCGTTGCCAACTCCAGCGCTCGAGACATGTCCGACAATATGAGGGGCCCGGGTGTGGATGCCCAGAGCAATACGCCAGGTCAGCGAGCATGGCCGATGAATCCATCGAAGAATGAATTTGCCGCCTGCAGGAGTCATGGCAGGCATTTTTTCCCTCTGTTCTCCCTTTCGGGAGACTCCAACTGTCAGCCTCCGCCGCTTCCGCCCAGGCCACCCCTGGCCGACATGGGCGGATACACACGGCCTGTTGGTTTCGCCATGGGGGTGCATCCTGAGCCCAGGATTTGCGTGGCCACGATGCATCGGGGGGTTGGATGGTCGGCGTCACCTTTTCCCTCATGCTTTCCCTGCCTCCTTCGGAGTGCATCTCGGACGGACATGTGTCCCTTCTACCCCCCTCCGTTTCTCAGGAAACCTCCGTTCTGGGACGCGCCCGCGGAAACCTAGGAAGGCTCTGACGTCCATCGCAGAGCCAGTCTGTGCGGCCAGAGGACTTCCAAAACGATCAAAATCAAGTTCTGCGACCTCGATCTTAGATCCTCGATTCTCGATCCTGCAACCCAGGGCCCTTTCCGGCTCGATCGATCCGATTCGACACCAGTTTCTCGCAGCTCGATCCGAGTCGGATCAGGTTTTTGTTCGATGCGGCCCGAGGTTTGGCTGGCGTTGTCTTATGCATTGTTTTGTCGATCGTTTTCTGATGCATTGTTTTGCCGATTAGCGCGAGCCCTCGCACTCCCTCCCACCCCCATATAGTAGATCTTGGCAGTTTGTGGCGCCTGTTTCAAGCAGGTGGAGTCTCC